GTCAGCCTCTTGCTATCAACATTTACAAATCAAATTTATCACTTTACCTGAACACTTGAGAGGTTTTTAAACATTTTTAGTTTCCAACTGATGTACTGTTACCTTCTGTTAACATTTATTCAGCATGTATTATTCGACAGACCCTGAGGAATAAGGAATCTCATTCTCTGATTTCAAAGAGTTCATTGTTATAATTTGATTTTATTACCATTACACTAAAGCATAATATATTTCTACTCTAACTTTGCTTTAGGACAATTAAGCAATCTCCCATTCACAAAAAAGAATTCAAAATATAATCATGGCAATTCTTTTTCATTAAAAGTTTAATAGTATAATATTTTAGAAATAAATGAATTGTTAAGTAAAGCAATTATATATTAAGCTTTAGCAGAACAAACAAACAAAAAACCCAGTAAACATTCACTCTAGATAAAATTACTGCTTATGCTTTTCAGAGTCAAATAATAATTTAAAAAAACACACTAAGGGAAATAAAATAAAATGTAGTCCAATAAACACCACAAGCAAGTAGGTACTACTTTTACAATGACTTTGTTTTTATCAACAATATAGTATAATCATTTTGTAGCTCAGATAAACCTGTTTTTAATTCAGCATGGAAACCACAGGACCAAGCAAGCTGGCTCGTTCCCACCATGTGGCAATATAGTCATTTAATAGTAAAATCTCTGTCTTTTCCTACATCAACTCCTAGTTATTCATCCTTTCCTCAACATTTCTGACCTTCTGTGTCCTCCTCTAGAAACTCAGGGGTGGACATCTTTCAAGACATGCTAAGGCAGAGAGGAAGCACTGGCTTTGCTGGGATTCATCCCGACAGTCCTGCCACTGGTTCACAAGACAAATCTCAGAAATGCAGGAAACCCACGCATAACAGGAACTGTGCACATGGTTTTTCTAAAGCTAGTTATTTCAGCTATGGTTTTGAGAATCTTGTTACTTTAAAATAAAATAAAATATAAACACAGAAAGATACACCAAGTATACTTACAGCATTATGGGATGGTACAAAGCAGACTTGTAACTAGCACCAGGGCCTTGGTGAACTTGGCAAAGGAGAACTTTGCCATCATCGAAGAAATCCCTAAGAAATTTTTCCCACCACTAAAGCAACCACTAGCCTGATCATAAATGATCTCCTTGTGAACTGTATGGCTTTGTCTTTCAAAAATGCATCCACCGTTTATTTCTAAGTACACTTTTATTTTCTATTTACATTGCACATAGATTCTAAATATTTAACTTTCTACATTTTAAAATGCAAGAAAATTTAGGTATCACTTATCTTAAATGTGTTCTTCATTTCTCTTACGGTAAGTGTGCACAGGGTGATTTCTTTTGAGGAAAAAATATTAATTAACACTGCATCTGTAATCATTTGGCAAGTAAAATAATAAAGTGACAAAACCCATCCTCTAGCAGATAGTGATCAGGGAAAACATTCCAAAATTTAAAAATCAAAAGCCAAAATACATCCGGAATGGTAATTATAAAAACAGTTATTAAAATTAAAGAATGGAGATCAAATCTCCAGAATGGAGAAGAAACTCTTCTATTTGGTCAGTGTGAATGTAAATTTGTACCACCACTATAAAAAAGTGTAGAAGTTCCTCAAAAGACTAAAAATTGATTTACCATGTGTTCCAGCAATGCCATTTTGCTAGGTATCAAACCAAAGAAATCGAATGGCCAACAAAAGTCTATACTCCCATATTCATTACAACATTATTCACCACAGCCAAGACACAGGATCAGTCTAAATATCCATGAGGAATAAATGGATAAAGAAAGTGTGACAGAGTATGAGTGAGTGGTAAACAGGAAGGAAACCCTGCCATTTCTGATAACAAGGATAAACACAGAGAACACTATTAAAGAAAATAAGCCAGTCACAGAAGAACAAATACTGTCTGATTTCAATTTATATGGAACCTAAAAAAAGCCAAATCCATAGAAGCAATACGTAAAATAGCGAGTCCCCAGAGAGGGAGGGGAGAGAGAAATGGTCAGGTATTGTCAAAGGGTACAATATTCAATGATATAATAAGTTCTACACATCCTCTGTGCAATAGGGTGATTCTAATAACTGACTGTGTACTTAAATGCTGCTAAGAAGGTATCTGTTAGGTATTCTCATTGCAAAAGAAAAACAAAGTGATGGTTTCACTGTTTCTGCAGTTTCCTATCCCAACAACACTTCACTAGGGTGGTTAAAAATAAAATACAGAATGCTTCAGAATGAGTTGAGACATCTCTCCAGTTTAGGGATGTCCTTGAGTAAGCACACATGCAAAACCCAACACACCATCTTTAACAAGAGACACTAACTGCCCAGGTGTACAGCATGACTGCAGGAAAAGTCTATCACGCCCTTCAAATCTAAAGTTTAGCTTGCTAAACTTTTTATTTTCCAATTTCAGGAGAAAAATCAGAACTCATCAAAAGGCAAAAAAAATCTGTTTTAAAATAATTTTCCTGATTATAAAATTAACATCAATTATAGATATTTGGAAATTATATAAATTACATAGACAAAAATTAAAAATCATACATAAACTGAATACTAAGTCACTTTAACAGGTTAGACTACATTTTAAATTAAACATATTATTCCTTTTACCTGATTATCCTTCCAATGTATCTTCTAAAAAGTGCTCTGTCACTATACATTTATATACTCTATCATGCAAATCAGAGGTAACTGCATACAAAATAACAAGAGTAACTTTTAAAATCCTGGTATTTATACATATGAGTCAAAGTGAGTATTTCTCATTCCAAAGCTGCAACTACTGAAGAAAATATTTTCAGAATACTTCCTTAAGAAGTGCTTTACAGTTTGGTAGGTAAATGTATTAATATCCATCATAGGAATGATTTTGCAGTGATTTGAATTTTACTAAAATCTTACTGCTTGTTCCTATACTTCTTATTTTCTTCCCCAATTTAAAAAAAAATCTCTGTTTACACATCAGACATGTTATATTCATCACTTTTAGAAATTGTCCACAATTAAGAATTGAGGAGATCCTCCTGAAAATTACTATAAAAGTGAGCAACAGAAAACAAATATATTTCAAAAAATCGTAATTTTAATGTAAATTATAGAAATCAAACTCTATCTTCCACCCTCCTCTAATTTTAAGAAGTCAGAGAGGCATTACCTCTGAAAAGCCACTGGCTTAGAGATGTAATAAAAATGCCACCTAAAAATAAATTGCTTCTACAAACACCAAAATTTAGGACAAAATTAAACATGCAATAAATGTGTAATTATTCATAATGCATTATAAAATCCAAGCACTGAATTTCTTTCTAAACAGCATTTTCCGAGGCCAAACCACATAGTAAGATGCTGTTCGTCCTTTGGAATCTAGTTTACTACCTCTGTCAATGCTCACTTCAAACACACTGACAGCCACCCTCGTAACCATGACCAATCTCCGGAAGTTTATGATGCTGCTGAACGCACAGCTGATGATGGAGGAGGCCTTACAACCAGAGGATCACTTAGCCCAGGTTTCTGTGCTGCCCACCGGGCTCCGTGGTGAGCTGCAGTGTGCACCTTTCCAATGGACGGACTGCTAAGGTGCTGGTGTAATTAATCCCTCACCCTGCGGTCTGCCCACGAGTGTCTCCTCCACGCGTGAGCACCACATCACCTGGTAGTAGAAATCAGCAGGGAAATCACCACCAACTTCCCCCAGGACTGGCAGACTGGACACCGGCACAGCTGTCCTGGTCTAAGGGACAGACGGATGGGTGCCCATTAAACCTGGGCGCCGTATGCTCTTCCCGGTTGGGTCCCTGCTTCACTTTCTGCCATCAACCAAGGATGACAGAGAAACAGAAGTGAGCTCCTTCAGGCATAGCTGTGCCTGGTCCCGCCCTCTTGGCCTGTGCACTGCTCTTGGTGTGCTGTGGGGTCCTTTCCACTCTGCACCCCCAGAGCAATGCTCAGTATGCATTAAGCTTAGAAGAGTGACCGATGTCACATGAGGCCACCATGAGCCTGTCCACCTTCACAAATCACACAGCGGCCACCTTCACACCCCTTGTGCTAATCTGGGAGTTATAACTCTGGCCAATTCTGTCCTCTGGTCTAACATTCAATCATTTTCACTAGCAGGACGAAGTCCGTCTCCCTTCGGAGCCCAGTTCTGGTCTGTGAGGACTTTCACACAGTGATGCCTCCTCCCCAAGCCAGACAAGTGTCCCTCTGGTTCAGGCTAAGGACCTGCTGCTGGACGCTTTCTGAGCTCCAGCCCCAGCGCCACTCCCAAAGACGGAGCTCCTCCACCTGAAACACCACCTCTCTCTCCACGCCGGCCCCCAGTGTCCTCCCAGCCCTTCACAGCACCATCTCCTCATTCTCATGGGAAACTTTGCTAGAGAGAATTTCCCTTGCTTTGTTTCTTTTTTCTCATTCTACTTCCAGATATAATCAGCTACCTAAAGTCAGGCTTGCAGTTCTGAAAAATGTTTAGAGCAAAGCCCACCCTTCCTTCAGAACTTAAGAAGTAATAAATTCACATTTTCATTTTGGCTTAGAATCTTCTGCACTAGTGTCTGGTATTTTCATTAACCCATGATGAACTTCATTTGTGGAACTGAATTCTGCGGAGAAGATACAATATTTAGTCTTATGCTATCTAAACAGTACAAAACAAGAATAGAGTATTTCTACATTTAAAAACCTCTCACATGCAAAAGGAGAGCTTATCGTATTTCTAGAAACCTTGTGACACATCTTTCTGGACAGTAAAGAAGGACGGCCTCCCTTTACAAATTCCCCAAGCGGACACGCCGACGCGGGCCTTCAGCAGCCCTGGGCATTTCACTGCTAAATACAAGCCCGGTTTGCAAGGGAAAAGTGAAAAAAGGAAGAAGAACCAATTCATTCAGTGCCACAACAAAAGCACAGCCCACAGGAGCTGTCCAAAAGCAAGCGGTGAAAGGCAGCGGGGTGCACTTACGTAGTCGTGGAAGGCCTTGGCCTCGCTGGAGTGCTCGCAGGTCTCCCGCCTCTCCGGAGCCGCGCAGTACAGGTCCCAGAACACGCTGCAAAGGCACCAGGCACACTGAGAAGCCAGGAACACGGGGCACAGCCCTACCGCTACAGCCTCAGCCTGCCACTGCGGGACGGGATTGCTCTGTCTGCAGAGGAGCCCCGGCTCTGGCTCTGCAGAGGAGGGCGCACAGCTGCCCGCACGCCCAGCCCAGCCAGGCCTGCCTAGGAGGCCAACGACTGTCAGCCAGTGCTGTGGTGTTCCCGCTTCTGGAGGTCACACCCAGGGACTTGCGCAAAGACCAACAATTTAACATTTCATTCTAATAACGGCTCTTTACCTGGCTTAGTCCTCACTGAAGCAATTTATAGTGGTTTTCCGGTTAAGAACAGTGTAAATAATCCTTTTTCTTTCTATTTTTCTTTCTCTCTCTCTCTCTCTCTCTCTCTCTCTCTCTCTCTCTCTCTTTCTCTCTCTCTCTCTCTTTCTTTCTTTTTTTCTTTCTTTCTTTCTTTCTTTCATGACAGGGTCCCGCTAATTCACTAAGTTTCCCAATCTAGGCCCAAATTTGCAACCCTCCTGCCCAGCCTCCCAGGGTGAGGAGATTATGGCATGCACCACTGCAACTGCCACTATGCTAGTTTAATCATCAGGGAATAAAGTGGTTCATTAATTTTTTTCACAATAATTTTGTCATCCAACTCACAGACCTATGTACCTTTACCATTAAATAACATTGGTTAAATGGATATATGTTCTTCAAATATCTTATTTCCCCTTCAATTACCAAAATAAGTAATTCTGAAAATAAAACAACCCATTCAAACTCCTTTTTTCCTCCTATTAAAAAAATAATGTTTCTTGCAAAACATAAAGCGCTGGTCCTCTTCCCGTTTATCAAACTGATTACCAGCTGCAGAGACCCTACAGCCAGCTTCTTACACAGCCAGAAGCACCATTTCCTTCTCGTGCCCTGGGACTCCCGGGAAGACCAGATGACAGAACATCAGCCCGGTGTCTGCATCCTGAAGCACACAGTGTGCCTAGTGACAGCATGGACGCGATCAGGAGTGTGCAGAAAAGCTCAGAGTCACGTACTCCTCAGGCAGCCGACGTGATGGGGACAGAGCGGTGAGAGTAAATAAAACTGGGTGAATTGAGCCAGAGTTCCCGACTCTAAAACACGTTCATCATCCAGATCTTGCTCTCCCTCCTCTGTCGGGATAAAGTATCCCAAAGGCTTGTGACACACAGCATAAGTCCACGGTTCAGGAAAATCAGAGTACCCCAGAGAGGAAAGCGTGAGCACTGCGTGTGCCACAGTTTCCTTGACTGCACTGCTTATTATTTCCTTCCCTATTAAGTGGAAAGAAAATTTATTATCTCTTAGTAAGATTCTACGATAAGTAAGAAATACAAAGAAGATAAGGACAAAATAACCTAAGTAAATTTCAGTATTTTCAGGAGAGTGAAGGCAGTGGTACTTGGCCTCCTTATGTCTCTACCTGGATAAAAAAAAATAATGTAAGACTTGCAGATAGGATACGACTAAAATCTTCACCTGGTTACAGTGTGTTGTGAATTACAGTCTGTTGCAATTACTTGTTCTCCTGTTGCTAAGGAACTTCAAGGCTCTGAAAGCCAGAACTTTCAAACGTAATGTTTACTGTATGTAGTTTAATCACAGATTAAACATAATGTTATGACAAACAGCTGAATAGCTCTTCTTGTTCCTGATTTTCTTATTTTCCCAGAAAGTACCATAAAACCTCTCCTAACATTTCTATCCTACTACTGTTAAATGATTTGTATGGCCTGAAAATTATAAAATAAATATGACAAGTGATTATTTACACATATGTACTTAAATACTTGAGAACATTGCACTGTTATACTTTTAGATCTGTTCTCACTGTTTTAGTACAAGTCAAAAGTTTTAAGATTGAGCTTAGAGATGTTAAAATAATTTAAAAATAATTTAAATAATAATTAAATAAAATAATTTAAATAAATAAATAAAATAATTTAAATAAATACTTTAAATAATAATTTAAAAATAAGTTTACATGCTATTGCTAAGAATCCTGCATGACTTACATGTGATCTTCTTCAATAAAGGTAAACAAATGCATCTGACATTTAAAAACATTTACCATGGTAAGCTTTTATCCTAGGTTTGGTCTTATATCGCCTAACACAAGCGTGCATGCTTTTCTATGCATTCATAGCTGCTCTTCCACTGATGCTACGCAGCCACCCAATGTGGCAGTAAGAAGGGTTAAAGAAAACTGGGCAAATCTTCAGTTAAAATAAAGAAAATGTGGGGTTATATTATTTATAAATATGTATATACATATATGAATATATGGTGGAGTACTACTCAGTCATAAAGAAAGATAAGTTTGAGGCATGCAACTTGAGCCCATTTACTTAAGTGAAGTAAATCAGACTCATGTGTGTAAACATTGCACTGTCTCCCTAGTGTGAACCAAAATGTACCTTTGAAATGGGAAGAAATTGTTCAAAAGGAAAGAGGAACTAGGGTGAGGGAAGGGGGAAAGGGAGGAAGGCAAAAGGAAAAAACTGATTCAAAAAAGGATAAAATGGAAATAAAGCTTTGTAAGTAGGAAGGGAAGAAGTGCTGAGGGGAAAAGGGGATGGGAAAAAGAGGGATCAAAGCATATTGTACACAGATACAAATTCCCTATGGTGAAGATGACCACCCTGTATATCTAAAATGTGCCAATAAACTTATTTAATTAAAAATGGTACTTATCAGGAGAGTTTCAGAACGAAGTCTATAATAATATAAATTATATCATGAAAATTAAACAATAAAATTAATTTACAAATTAAATACATATGGACAAATTACCTGTAGTACTAGGGAATATGTGATTTAAAACATGTTTCATCTATAGGTGGAAAAGATAATCAAAATTTTATTTTTTCTATAATGTTTGACAATATCTTGCCCCAATGATATGAGCCTAACAGTATCGTGGCTGCTGCGGTAACTACACCCCTAGTGTTGGAGAACAATTTGCTATGTTGTAGCAGCAGGAGCTGCAGTAAGAACAGAACATACCATGTTGTCCACACTCTGTAATTAATCCATGCTTAGCTTTGGATTAATTGGGAGATTGCAGACAAATCACTTAATCTTTATAGTCTTATTTTGCAACTTAGAAAATGCGGAGATTAAGGAAGTTAAAGCTAGGGGACCTCTACGAGTCTTTCATGAAACACAAAGCAATATTAAACAGTATTTTTCTTCAAATTTATTCCAAATATTATTAAATGCCTAGTCACTATATTTAATATGCTATGTCACATGCTGCCAAAGAAAAAGACGTATCATCCATGGTACATAGGAATTCAAGACCACTGATGAGTTGACCTAAAAATTAATCAATTAATTAAGATAATTAAGTGCAGACTTCCATTTCGTAAGTTACTAAAATTTCGTGCATACTGTGGGCAGAAGCCTATGGCTCACATTAGGGCCTTCTGCTACTGATACACAGAAACACAGCTTTATCTCTTTGAGGAAGAACTAGGCGTCTGAGCAGGGAAGGCTGACGGTGACACTTGGTGGGTTCCTCACTGGAGGGAGCCCACTGATGTGCTTCACGGTCTCCGATGACCCGCTGTAGTGGTGCCCTGGTTCCCAAGAGAACCACGAGCAATACACTGTGACAGACTTCTCCCTACAGCCTACAGGCTGCTGGCCAAGCTGGTCTGGATTCCTCTAACTCCTGCATCTGTTAAACTTAAAAGCAAGTGCACTGGTTTATCACAGACACTCTCTTTATACCTAAGCAGTAACCAATGAAAAACTTCTGCACTTCTCAAATGGAAAAAGATGCTACACACAGAGAAGCAAAACTTAAGGCTTTGGTTTTGTCTCAGTTGCGAGTCTTCTCTGCATAAACTGAAAAACATAACGATCCCAAGTCAGTGATTCCTACCCAAACACTTTCAGTGATGTGGGGACATTGGGCAGAGGGCCGGGCTAGCTGCTGGTTCTTAAGGGAACACAGACAGCTGTGAAGGCTCATAAACACGCTACGCATGTCCCCGAGGGCAGCCAGCATGTTGATAGCCAGGTCTAGGGCTTCCTGAAGCTAAAAATTCAAAAATAAAAGACAAAAAGTCCCAGAGGACGATTTCCTGAAGAACAAGCCATGCTGCTGTAAGCTCAAGCCCCAACAGCTGAGGAAGTCGTTTTTCTTGGATTGGGCCAAAGATACATCCATGAATGTTAGCAGCTCCTGATCCCTGCTGAACTGTTCCAACTGCAGCCATCGTGAAGGGCTGGCTTCAGAGATACATGCCCACTGCAGGGCTGTCCAGAGGTGGTGCACAACTGCAGAGCCGCAGCCTGATGAGGGGCTTCTGGTCACTCCTCCTGTTCCCTCTCCCATGTCCCAGCACCACAGGTGAACGGTCATTCCACTGTACATTCCCACCAGCAGCTGCTATAGGCCTAAGTCACACCAACAGAAACCTCCAAACTGGGAGACCAAGTGAACCTTTGCTCTTTATAAGGTGATTATCTCTGGGGTTCATAACAGTAACAGAAGGTTGACTAATACAATCCTGAGTGAAGAAAACTATCCATTCATAAGACCAAGGATGTTTTTATATAACATATGCATGGATCTCCTCCTCATCTTAGTAATTTTTTTTTTTTTTTTTTTTTTTTTGGTACTGGGAATTGAACTCACGACTGTGTGTTTTTCAGGCAGGTGCTTATGTCACTGAGCTAAATCCCTGGCCCCAGTAATTTCATTTTTATGTACTTGTATTATTCCTTATTACTTAATATTTTAAACAATGACAGCATTAAATTTTGCCCCACAGTCATAAAATTCTCACAAAATTTCTGCATTAATAACATTTATGTTTTAAACATCATAAATAATTAACCTTTACTGAATATGTACTAAAGTCAAGTGTCATATTCTAAGCATCACATATTTAAGCTTCCAGTCTCCTAATTATGATCCCTTTTATAGAGGAGTGAGCTGGGGGCATAGAAAGTTAAACAATTCAGCTAAGGTCACAGAGTAAGAAGTTAGTGACAAGTTGGACTGGAACTTGTAACCATTGCATTATCTGCTTCCACTGGAAGTGTGGAGTAAGAGTTGAGCTCTCTATCTGGATCAGGGTCAGGTTTAGACAGCTCTGGCCACCTAGCCAGTGTTGGCTCTTATAGGAGTGTGGCAGATGTTTGTTCAGATAAGACAGCAAGCACTGTCATTCTGGCTTTGACCCGGAAGGAGAACTCTCATGTCCAGTGTGTGCCCATCACTACTACCCCGCATCTTGCATGCAGCTGCAGTGACCCGTGAAGGCCTCCATGCAGACATAACTAGTCCCCGGGACACACACTGCCTGGAACCTGCTGCTCTCTCATGGTGCTTTAATAGGAAATGCAATCCCACTGCAGTAACTGCAGTGAGCTGCTGAATTCAGCCCTGTGGCTAGTAAATTGTAAGCTCTGCTTACAATTCAGAAGATTTCAATTCCACTCATAAACTTGACCTTGACGGCAGTGTTTCATTCTTTCCTTTCTCTCTTTGGTCCCAGGGACTGAAGTCACCACCCCGTGCTCCCAAGGCAGGTACTTATGCCGCTGAGCTAAATCCTCAGCCATTGTTCTTTGATTTAACAATATCTGTACTCTATTGTACAGCATTTTTGCATAAGCAAGAGATGATACGAAGCCAGACATACTTGCAAAAAAAGTTTAAGTTTATTAAAAACTATTCTAGTAGAGTGTCATATAGCCAGGGAAAATGTCTTCTGATTAACTAATACAATTGGCCTCGCCTTCCTTCCCAATTCTTTGCATCTTTAATGAAAGAGCCCGCGGGTTTTCTCCTCCCAGGGATATTCTGTATTCCTCACCAGACTAAGTTTTGCTTTTTCTTTACAACCTAACCTCACCTATTCTTTGCTTCTCTCTTCCTAATACTTTGCTTCCTTTCTCACCCTGATCATACTCCTTGTATGCTAACAGTCACCTACCCTGTCTTACACAAAACTCCGTATAAGTCAACTCGAATAAGCAGCTATTCAATACCTGCTCCAAGAACACCTACAGAACAAAAATTATAAATACTATGTACCATTCCAGTGAATGAGCTGACTCCAATGTTACTGATTTCGTGCAGGTCTGTGTTTATTTTTAACTCCACCTGGTGTCATTCATTACAGTCATTAGCGTGCAAGCATACTGCAGGGCTTCAGTTCTGAGTGCCAGGTAAAAGAAACCAAATTCTTACAATAATTCTACTGATTAACGTATTTTCTGTGTGATATTACATAATTTTAGAATTATAAATCTAGGGGCCTGAAATTATTTTAAAAGATGTTTTAAATTTTTGTGTTTATAAATAAAAATGAGACATCATTCTTATAACTCAAACTTTACAGGAGAAGTCTTTTAAAGTCTGTAATTTTAAAATTCCACAAGTGGAAAAGGATGTTAACCTTGGAGGAACGAAGCTTCTTGGCAGCACAGTTGTGAAATTAGCGCAGGAACGGGGAGTGCTTGCAAATCCAAAGTTAGACTGGGCAGGTGAGAGGGGAGAAGGAGGCGGTGGGCAGGGAGCTCCAGCTCCAGGAGGCCCCCACTGGCCTCTCCTCTCCAAGGCCTCTGGCTCCCACTTCTGCTTATTTGTGTGTGGAACCCCCCCCCAATGTCTTCAGCCCTTGGTTTGCTGATTTCACACCTCCATCTGGATACATGCTGGAGTGCATGCTGTGTGCCAACCTGAGCCCACACACGCACCTGCAGGAGCTGGACACCGCGCTGGACAGCACTGGTGCCCATCGGTACTCCCTCCCCACTCCACCCAAATGTCCTCTGACTGGCACTTGCCTTCCTTCCTACACGGGAGGCCCCGTGGCTTCCTCTGTTCCTTTGGTGGTGGAGGAATCTGAGTTTGAATGTCAGCGTTCTCTTCTGGGAAGCTTCTGCACATTCTTCTCTCTTCATCCCCTTCCTCCCTTTCCACATACTTTTCTTTGAAGTTCCTCTTAATCTCCCACATGTAAATGCTGATTTCCTGGGGGTTCCAGCCCCAGGCACTGCTCTCTTCATCCTGTAGGACTTCATCCATGAACTCCCTACTGCTGTAGGTCCTAGTGGGTGAGTCCAAGACACCGTGCTGCTACCTCAGAGCTGTATACCCAGCTTAGACTCTCACCTCTGAGCAGCTGGGGTGGAGCCATCTGAGCTAACACATGATTCCTCCAACCTACTGCTCTCAGTATCTTTCCTCTGTCTGTCAGCAGCATCACCATCTGCACCACCACACAAATCTAAACCCTGGGAGTTCTGGACTCGCCTCTGAACTCGGTGACACCTGCTACCCAGAACTTCTCCTGCTATCTCCCTGCAGCTGGACCATGCTAGGAGCAGGCAAGCTCACCTTAGTTCCCAGCACTCTTCAGCCTGCCTCTGCAGTGATGCCAAATGAGTGCCTCAGCTGGACACGCCCGTGCACTTTGCTTAAAATCTCTGGGCTGCAGGCTCAAACCCTCCATGTTTCTAGGACTTCGGATCTGGCTCCTGCTTTTATCTCTGGGTTTATAGTCTACCTTTTCCCACTTTTTCCTAGTGTTCCTACGGGCCAGCTGCTCAAATGCCTGTCATTCCTTGAGGGTACCATCACTCCTTTTGAGGTTTTACACTAACTGTTCCTTCCCCAAAATACCTTTCCCTCACTCAACTTTCAGCTCAGGTTCTGAGATTAACTCCCTCAAACTGAGGTGAATATTGCTCTTGAGCTGGTATCTTAACCAACACCTACTTTTCTTATAACATTTTTAATTGCTGACCTTGCCTACTTCTGATTTCTTTGAAAGCAGCACAGCTTTGTACTTTATAAACATTTAGTAACTTAAACAACAAGAAAATTTTCATTTTACACATTCTATTAAAAAATAGAATTTCTACATGGCCGTCCTGGTCCACGTGGAAACACAACCATTACCACAGCCCTGCACCCTAGCTGGGACACAGCGATGAAGCCCAGTTCTAGAGGAGTATGGTGAGGACGGCAGGCATCTGCTGGGTCTGAAGCCTGGGCGGTGGCCTCGGAGCACACCGCGCCCACCACTTCCACTCCCAGCTTCCGGAGCCTTCTCCCTGGAGAAGCTGCACAGCACTTACCATATTCCCCCCGAACCCCGGCTTTCTCCTTGCCTACTGAGCTGTCTGTTTTCCCCAGTAGACTGTTGCTGGCAGGAGGGGAGGGTGTATCTGTTTTATTCACTACTGTGACCCCAGTAACTGGAGCACTGCACCTGGCATAAACAAAGTACTGCATAAGCTTTTCTAACAGTATACAATAAATAAATTTTATTAGGTTTGCAAAAAGAAATTTGCCCAAAGCCTCATGAGTAAATAAAACTTCAAAAGGTACTACTACTTATGGCAAAAATACAAAGAAATCATTGTTTAAAAATCCACATGGATAGTCAGTATCTATGAGCACTGGATCAGGAAAGTTTTTCTCATGAATATGCTCCTTCTTTTTAAGAAAATGGAGATAAATTTATTTCAGTACCTCCTTACTTATATCTCACTCCCTTCTTGTTCTTGGAAGATTCTATTTAATGAGTGGCTATTATTTTGAAATAGAATTGGCCTCTTATACAAGATGCCAGTCAAACCATTCTCTTCACTTCCAATTCCCCCAAGAGGAGAAAGGAGGATTCAAAGAAGAACCTGGAACCGTGGGTCAAAGTTTCCCATCGCGGCCCAGCACAGGACAATTTGCTAGACTAAAAAAAACAATTGCACAGCTACAGTAAGCAGAAATTAATATACACTACCAATGCCTCCTTCATGTTCACTGTTATGGTCTAACTGTATCTCCCTTCAAATTCACACATTAAAGTCCTAACTCCCATGTGACAGTACTTGGAGATGCAGCCTTCTGGAGATAATTATGACTAGATTCAGTCACAATGCTAGGACCCCATGATGGGTTTAGGACTTTATAAGAAAAGATACAAAGAGCCTCTCTCTCTCTCTCTCTCTCTCTCTCTCTCTGTCTCTCTCTCTCTCTGTCTCTCTCTCTCTCTCTCTCTCTCTCTAACTGAAAGGACACAGTGAAAATGTGCCGTCCACAAGCCTGGAGGAGAGCCCTCTTCAGAACCCAAACACTAGACACCTTGATCTTGGATTTCCAGCCCTCCAGAACTGTGAGAAAATGAATGTCCACTTTTTCAGCTACCCATTTCCAGGCATTTTTTATGGTAACTTTAGCAGACTAACAGAAAATGATAACTTATACTCAAAGAGTCTACATGCTAGTTTCAATTCTTTCTTGACTCAATGTAATAGCCTTAAGTCAAAGAACAGTAATCTGATCTTAATTTTTTTGTTTCTTAAAAGTGCTACCTCTCAAGTAACAACTTTAGTAAATGAAAAATAGAAGCAGGAAATCGTAAGGAGGTACAGTATAGGCCTACTGGAATCATTATCAAGTTAGTAAAAATGTAGCAAAAGATACTCACCACCACCAAGAATGTAAGAATCCTGGAGGTTCTCCCAATGTGATGTTTTTTTCCCATCTTATCTAAAATGAATAAAAAAGATAAATACTTTCTTAATAATAGTTTTGCCCATACACATTACAAAGCAATATTTTTCCATTTAAAATTACTATGGTAATTTTTAAGGTTTTCATTTTATTATTTACATGAGCTTTCCAATTATTCACTTCCCACCATGATCTACAGACTGAATTAGTCTCTGATAGTGGTCACCATTAATTTCTGATTGCCTCCAGCCTGTCAGGTCCTACCCGTCTGTGTCTTGGCATGAGGGCCACTGAGACAGTGAAGTGGTCTCCACTTTCTGGCTTCCTGTTGGGTTCTGTGACCTAAGTCAGATGAGGAGTCAGGTGGGTGGAGAGGAAAGAGGCCGAGGCTGCTTCTGGTCCCTTGCTCCTCCTGTCAGGGTGGACTCATCTGATCAACCGAGTGACTACAACAACTGCAGCTTCTTTCAACACGACCAGGCCCAGTCTCTTCCTTCCCGTCACAGGCACCCACACACAGGCGATGCCTTGGCCCCTCATCAACACTGAGCCCCTGATATGCAGCGGCCACTAAGCTCACATCTTCATGGGTCTGAACCTCAGCAACAGGAGGCTTCTCCTCTGATTTTTGTCAGTCACATCTCTTTCTTTTGGTCCCCTGATCCTAGTGATTGTTCATGGCAATTATTAATTTTATGATACTTTTCCCCTGCCGTGTTCCCTCTCTGATCCTTGGATATCTGTTTACCTATTTCCCTGCCTTACATTCTTTCTGTTGAAATAGTTCACAGACTTTCAATGAATGAGCATGAATCTTGACTGCTAGGCCACTGCATCTGATAGTACATATCACAGCCCCCGGAGAGTAAGAACTTCAAACTCCCCTGAGACAGAACAAGGTGTGCAAATAAACATCAGCTCCCCTACAAATCAGCTGTGTGAACTGGGGAAAGATACGTAGGCCTCCCATAGCAGTTTTCTCTCCTACAAAATGGGCTAGCAATACATACCCCCCTCCAAAGGTTGCTGTGAGGAGTAAACCGCTTAGTGACAACCCTTAGAATGACTGACATGCAGTCAACGCCTGATAACTGTCAGCTGTCATTATCTTTCCCTCGAAGCACATTCCTATCATAACTTAACTTATTCCTGTATCACTGTCAACAACATAACATTCTATGCATCCACCTGACATAAAAATATTGCAGTATTTAGGTAAGTGCCCAACAATTTAGCTTACTAGTCAGAAGAGTGCAAAATATCTAGGTGGGAATCATACATATATCTAGGAAAAAGAGCAATCCATGTCAGAACTATGGAAGACTTGTCCATGCCACTGGTGGAAATGAGAGAAGTAAATAAACATTAATCATTTAAACAAGATTAAGGTTTATTTATTAATCATTTGGAGATTAGGATTCTATTTACCGTCTTATCACATAATAAAATTCAGGTGATTACTAAAATATCATAAATAGACCCTAACTTTAAACATTTTTAAAATATTTGCTTGACATGTCTCTGTATATCTAGGGAGAAGAACGTAGTATCTCCACACACAGACACAGTGCGCAATGTTAAAATCAGGGTAACCTGCACATCTAGCACCTTGGGCCTTTGTCATTTATTTGCCCTAACAGTGTATTCCCCTGCTGTGACACATACAGAGCACAAGCAGCGTCCCTGGCGACAGTGGGCCCCGTCATCCCCTCTCCCCACACTTCCTGCTGCTCCCTCCACACGCCAGGCCCAGGAGCACAGCGCCGCAGTTCCCACTGAGAAGCGGGGGCAGGTGTGGCTGGCTTTTGCTGTGCCTGACTTACTGCACTGAATGGACCCACTCTAGGAGAATCCTACTTTTGAAGTTTTCTTCTTGTTGGCAAATCAGAGGGTATTTCGGGACCTTCAGGCACATCGAAATCATCATCAACATTAACATCATAACATCAGTGTCATCCCTGACCCAGAGATTCGCAAACGATTGCTCTTGAAATGCAGACCATACCTTAAGAACTAAGTTTCGGAACAAATTCCTGACTTGAGGGGAAGGCATGTCTTTCATAAAATACAAGTTTAAAAATAAAGACGGTGATACTGACATTCCCATTGTTTGCATTATAGATGACTCACAACTTACCATTCAAAAATTTAAATAAATTCAGTGTCTGTCACAGTTAAAAGTTTAGACCATGTGCTTTTTACAAAGTCAGTACAGAAGTTGGAAAGCTGGAAGGGTGTTTACAGGGCACCTTTTCTAAGCACTGGATAGCACTGGATGACACTGCAGGGACGGGGTGGTCATACTTACTGAGGGATGGACAAGGCCAGGCAGTGTGGGCACAGGGACAACAGGAAATGGTGACGGGAGAAAGCTTTAAACAATGTGATCCAGAGAGGCATCAAAAGGTTCACAGGCCTCTGACACCATGAAGAAGCAACTGTAATTATACATTTTGTAAAAATTTAAGGGCGGTTTTCATCATCCGCTATGGGAACAGCAGAGACTTCCAGAAAAAAACCTAGCAAATCAGCAATAACAACAGCAAAAATCCTTTAAAATAGGAACTGAGAAAGTCATCCCACGTGAGAGAGAAAGAAAGAGAGAGAGAGAGAGAGAAAAGGAGAAAGAGAGAACATGAGACTTTTTAAGGAAGAGATGGAAAAACAAGCACCATCGAAATCACTGAAACTGGGTCAGCTTTTAGGGTTTGAAGCACACAAAACACAAAAGGCAGCTTTGGAGGAAACAAGTAATTTTCTCTCAAAAAAAAAGAAGATTTTGCTAAAGATTAGAATGTGATTTAAAGTTCACGTTGTCTGCAAACAGAATGGCTACTCCTGCTTTTTTTTTGTATTCCTGCTGCATGAAATATTGTTTTCCATCCTTTGCTTTCAGTCTGTGAGTATCCTTCTGGGTTAGATGGGTTTCCTGTAAACAGCATATGGTTGGATTTTGTTTCTTGATCCATTCTGCTAGTCTGTTTCTTTTGATTGCTGCATTGAGGCCATTAACATTAATGGTTATTACTGTTAAATGTTGGTTTATTGTTGACATGTTATCTCTCTGCTGTTGCATCTTTATCTTTCTGTTCTGTTTAATTATCTGCTTTGCTTAGTGGTTTTTTCCTTTGTGTATCTAAACTGTCTTTCAATATTTTTTGCAGGGTTGGTTGGGTATTCATGAAGTTCTTCAGCTGTTCTTTGTCATGAAAGTATCGTATTTCACCATCAATTTTGAATGATAGTTTTGCAGGATACATCAGTCTAGGTTGGAAATCATTTTGCTTTAGGATCTGGAGTACTTCACTCCATGCTCTTCTTGACTTTATTGTTTGTGCTGAGAAGTCTGCTGTGATTCTGATAGGTTTTCCTTTATAAGTTTTGATCTGTCTTTTCTCTCTGACAGCTTTTAATAATCTATTCTTGTGTTGGATTTCTGGGATGGTGATTATTATATGTCTGGGTGTAGTTTTATTTTGGTTATGACTATTTGGAGTTCTATATGCTTCACTGATCCTGATGTCGGTTTCTGATCTCATGCTTGGGAAATTTTCAGCTATTACTTCTCTAAATATCCTTTTGACATCCTTTATGTTGTCTCCTTCTTTTTCATTAATCCCTCATTCTTATGTTATTTTTTTCATCATCTTGCAGTTGTTGAATTGTTGTTTCCTGATTCCTTGTTATTTTTAAAAGATCTTTCCTTTCCTGTTCACTAGCTGCAATCCTGTCTTCAAGGTCTGAAATTCTATCTTCACTTTCATTGAGGCGGTTTTTACAACTTTCAGTGGAGTTTATTTCCTGTATGTCTCGGTGCATCTGCATTATGTATTCTGTTTGTTTCTTATATTGCTCATCTAGGGATTCTATCTTTTTGTTTAGTTCCTCCAATTTTTTAACTGTGTTTTCTTTAGATACATTCAAAATCTCTTTCATTTCTTTTATCATTTCTTCTTTTACCTGGGAGATTATTTCGAGTTTGAATTCCTTTAAAGCTTCCTGGGGTTGCTTGTTAATTTCAGTAGCTATTATGCCTGATATTTGAGGTGAATGGCATATATTTTCTTCTATATACATTGCTCCTAGGGCTTCTTGAGATGGGCTGGAGGTTTGAGGTTGTAATTTGGTCTTTCGTTTTGTCATTTTCCTATATTTCTGTGTTTCAAGTGTTATTTGAAAGCTTCCTCAGGGTCTGTTGGAAATCCCTTTCTATGTTCGCAGCTCCTGAGACTCTGGCACTCAGTTACCCCAAGCCACTGGGCCTGTAGAACCAATGGCCCTCTTCTGCCTGTTTAGAACTCCGTAGTTCCAGATAAGCTGGGTTTCAGGGACACTGTGCGCCCACCTGCTTGTTGGAAGCTCCTCAGTTCTCCAAGCGCAGCCAGAATGGGGAGGCGGTGTAGACTGGTATAACCTTTATGGAGGTCAGTCTGGAGATTTCTCAAAAAGCTGGGGTTGGAAGTCCCATTTATTCCAGCTATTCCACTTCTAGGCATATTCCCAGAAGAACTGAAAGCATCATACCACAGTGATATATGTGCACCTATGTTTATAGCAGCACAATTTGTAATCGCCAGATCTTGGAAACAACCCAAGTGTCCATCAACTGAGGAATGGATAAAAAAGCTGTGGTATTTCTATACAATGGAGTACTACTCAGCTATAACGAAGGATCACATTGAGATATTTATCAATAAATGGGCGCAGCTTAAGACCATACTCATAAGTGAAATAAATCAATTTCGCATGTGTGAATACCGAATAGTTTCCCTAATGTAAGTAATGATTCAAATATATAAAAGTATGTGGTAATCATGATTCCCCATTATGAGGCCTTGAAGCCTTATAAAGTTTTCACTTATTAATTGGAAAGGCTTTATTCTGGGCTTCTTGATATGGAAATATTTGAAGCTATAGTATATGAAGTTATATTCAAATATTTCAAGGAAGAAGATAGACACTATGGTAACTACTACTAAATCGGGTTATTGGTGGTGAAGCACTAGGTTGCTGAAACAGTCATGCTTTGACCTGTA